ACTCACTAATGATGCCGACTGCGATGCCGGCGAAACGTTTAAGAATGTACCAAGTTCACTGTCTGACTCATCAACAAAACCAGACGTGTGTCCGACCCTGCGCAATCAGAGTTATGGTTATAACTTAAATGTAGAAAGGAGGAGATATGGGTCATTAAACCTTTATGGCCGAGAGCAGACGTTCCTTTTTGCTATCCTTATTACTTTGAGCCATCACTGCGGGTTTCGTGCATAAGCGAACACAAACAGGCAAATAGACATACAGAGACAGACACACTCACAGGCATCGAAGTTGACATTTGACCTTAACAAACCAAATCACTTTATACTTGATCAGAGATTAGATGTAGAATATATATACCACTGTTTAGGGATTTTATGGTGAGTTTTCTTGACTCTAGCTCAAATTTTGTTGTGACGATCATACCTTGCTCTGATAATGTTCGTCATATGACGGGCGAAAGCTTAGCACCTTTTCACCGGAATCGAAATAGATTACCTCGGGAACACCGTCGACATGAATGTTCCAGTAAAGCCAATCGACAGCTGATCAAGAGGAATACGCCTTCGTCTTCTAGTGGAATCGACCTTCGGATCTCTTCCCCAAACGCTTTCACCCGAAAGTTATACTTACAAAGTTCTTCCAATTTTTCTCAATTTCTCTATCTTGCCTAATACTGGATTATTTTCTTAAATATTGATTTACTTGAAATAAGCAGTCATATATATTTGATTTATACACCATTTAAGTGTCAAGACTAGTTTGTATTTTGTCAATTAAGTGAAAACACGTGAACACGATAGTTTTATATGAAAGTAGTTTTCGATACTAATTTATTTGAAGTTGTTGCTAGGGTAGAACAGCTTAACTATAAGTGTAATCACTAAAGATCTAGTTAAGTATGTTCACCACGTACAAAATTAAAAAAATATTCAAACTTAAAGGCTAACCTAACTTCTTTTCCATACAAAATGCTGTGGAACTTAAACTGAAGAACTGTCTTTTCTTTACAGGAAACAAACACATTCCACTTATCATTATCTTGCTAACCAAGTGGGTATCTTTTTGAAACGCCTATCTATTAATCAAAACTAGTATGCTCATTTGCAGCCATAACCCATTGCTACAATGAAACAGACTGATTTCCCAAAGAAAAACATAATAAATTTCGAGTAACATTTAGCAATCATGTTTTATGGTCTAGGTAACAAGCATGCTGACCCGCCGTCTTGGAGTTGCTGTGGCTGTGCTTGGAGGTAGTGGTAGTCTCGCCAGTAGTCAACAGCTCTATGCTGTTGGTGGCTCGGACGGCGATCAATCCTTGTCTAGTGTTGAATATCTGGATCCTCGAGTAGGCTTTTGGCAGCGATGTCCGAGCATGGGATTTCGGAGAAAGCATCTGGGTGTGGCTGTGTATAATGGATTGATCTATGCCGTTGGCGGTCGAGATGATGCTTCAGAACTATCTTCAGTAGAATGCTACGATCCACGGGCTCATGCTTGGTGCCCTATGGTGGCAATGACATTACGGAGAAGTGGAGTAGGTTCCTTTTCGTTATATTCGCTTTTATTGTCTCGAACCTTGTTAATGTGTGTTCTCCATTTATTTACATCTTTGTTTAAGATTTTTGCCTCAAGGTACATAATTCCTACTATCATATCATTTCATAATGGGGCTATCCAAATTCAAAGTACGCATAATTTTCTTTTCGAAGCGTTTTACTCTTATCACTTTAATTTTGTTTCACCTTAATTTTTACTTCACTTAGGTGTATTTATTTTACCTTGGTAGTTCTATAATAGATATATTTCGATTAAGATATTTTATTCTCAGATTTAAATCGACTTCATGGAACAATTATACTGATATATAGATACAAAGGGAAACGATTTTTAAAAATCCCTTAAATTCAATATATTTTACCTTATTTCGTTTTGTTTCTGGGATTTCTAAATTTGAGTTACCGGATAGCAAAGGAATTGTGATTCCGGCTAGATATGTGCGAAGGAGCCCTCGGAGCACTGTCCTGCGAGCCCTGTATGCTGAGCTATCGCCCTTCATGTAGCAGACATTGAATGGGCCAGAAAATTTACCCAAACGCTAAACCATGATAGATGACCGGCTGCAATACGCCTTCGTATACCTAATTTTGCAATCTTATTAAGGCATCCAATGAATTGATCGGCCATTTCATGCTTACCTCAGATCCATGCTTTTGACAAACTAGCTAAGGATCTTAGAAACACCCAAGATATTAGAATAAGCACTGCAATAGCTTTGGGTGATACTTGTTTTTTCTTGATTATAAAAATTCAGCAAGCATAAAATGGTTGATAATTTTTTTTAGCTGCTTTGTCAATTATTTTGTATTGTTATACACGGAAAAAATCTCTCGCCAAATATTGTGACACCCAATCTATATTAAAATGCAGTCGCTTGAATCTCAGGTTGTTAGGAGTCTTTTAATTGAAATATAAAAATTAGGTTGCACAGTATACGTCATAGCAATACGAAAAAAATAAACGTCTTTTTGTAGGATTCATAAATGTGAAGTTGCCATTTCAATTTAATTCTT